ATAAACGAGATTGTCAGCAACCAAAATCGACTTACATCTTATAAAAGATACGACGGTAACAACTGTAATAAAAATTCAAAATTTAAAGCGTATAGGGCGACCGCTGCCTGGAGCGCTTTCGAACAGAGTTCTATGCAAATTTGTCGCTCGGCGGACCTCGCTGGTAGGAAGCTGAAGGTTTTTTTTATCGTCACCGAAGGACGAAATCTATTACCTTATTTCAGCGAAAATTGTACCCTTTCGCAATGGAAAATGGAAAGAATTTGTTCGTTACGATATGCGAGAAATTTTAGTGAAACGAATGGGAAAGGGTTAGTTTGTTACATTCTATTACATACAATTCGAATTTTTGTTATGTAAAATTTGCTATTGAGTATCGATTAATCGGGGATCCGTTTTAATTTTATTTAAATCTATCATTGGAAAGATAGTTTAAAATTAAGATACCTTTTAGATTAGCTTAAAAAAACATAATATAGGCTTTAATAGTTCCTTGATTATAAAGTTAACGGCTGCGGAAATATTAAACGAAAATATTTTTCAGTCAGTTTCTACAAACAATGACAAAAAAATATAGACAGGTGTTTTTGATATGAAACGGTTTATCATAATATTTTAAATTGTAAACAAATATGTTTAAATATAACTTTTTAGCTGTTAAGATGATTCTTGATTGTATTGAAAAAAATTCAGAGACAATTTCTCACACAAGTTTGAAAAATTGTATGAACTAATATTTTCTTTGTAGTAGGTATACAGAGAAAACCAGTCTACTAGTAACATAGCAAGTTGCCGGACGAATTTACGTTTACCCGATTTGCGTTCGTACTAGAGATTCACTGTCGGCTGGTCAGGCAGTACGCAGTTGCAGTTGTGCTTGGACGGGTCTGTCGTGACAATAGGAATACGACGCGAGGAGTGCCGAGTATTTATTATTTTCATTTTAAGTGCTTACCTTCACTTAATGTAACATTTAAAATAAAAATACTTAAATATTTATTATTTGAGTGTGTTTACAAGCCAAAATTAAAAATAAATAAATTCTCTAAACCCGAAAAAAACTAAAGTATTACTCTAAATAAAAAAAGTTATAACAAGTGTTCAAAAAGACCACCTTCTTGTGCTAGACAGAAGCCCAGGCGGTCGTGAAATCCTCGTCTGACATTGGCTAACATATTAGGGCTAATAGTTTGGAAAGCCTCTCATATTTTTACTTGAAGCTCATCCAGATTATTAGCCCTATTATGACCATACACTTTAGATTTTACATAACCCTACAAAAAGAAATCATTGGGAGAAAGATCTGGTGATCTAGCGGGCTACAAAATAGTTAGTTCCATGTCCACTAATTAGACGGTTGGGAAAAGTATTGTTCAAATATTCTTGAACAATACGAGCATTGTGGGCAGGGCAACCATCTTGTTGAAACCAGACATTGTGGAATCTTTCTCCCAATAACTCACGAATTCTAGGGACAATCTGCTGCTGTAACAAGTCCAAATACTTTGCAATAGTTAAATTACTCTTTATAAAAAATGGACCAATCATATGCTCCCCTACAAAACCACCCCAAACACTTGCTTTAACTCCTGTTCTTCATTAATCAACACATCAGGCTTTTTGTGTTTTTGTGGGGACACGCACCCATGTGTTTCAAAATTATTAATAACTCTTGATATAGTAGGTAAAGATGGAATTGGCCTATTTACAAAAGTTTGTCGAAAAATTGTTTGTATATCCCCCCGATAAGACCTATTTTGGAAATACCATTTTACAATTTACACTTTGAATTTTCTCACAAACTTCGTAAACATCCATTATTTTACTTAAAAATAAATTTTACACGAGAGCTGTAGCGAGAATCTATGTATTCGTTTTGGCTATTAAAACACGAATAAATACAAATTCTGTAACATTCTTATCACATATCTACCTATTTTTATTTTATCGCATTTTTTCGCCTGCTTTTTATCCGGCGGACGGGTATACGCTAATTCGTCCGGTTCTGCCTATGTTACTACTACGGTGGTCCGGTCTGTATAAATGAAAGGTATATAATAAAAAACAGGAAAATCTTTAATGTCATTATTATTTTTTTTACTTTGGGAAGCTATACCCCTATCATAAAACAAAATTTTAACAGAAAGAGAAAATAAATGCTTGCAATAGTGAACCAGGTTGAGACGTATTGTAGTGTAATTGCATAGTATGAAAAACCTAAAAATATTTTACTGGAAGAATTCGTATAAAGGCGCATTATCACAACTCGTACACTTGGTAAGTATTTTTTATTTTATTTTTATTTTTATTTAAATTCGGTATAGATACCGACGCAGCGTGTATACCCTGTATACCAATTACAAATGTTTGTCAAGTACACTAGTCGTGAGAATGCGCCATAAGACAAATTCTGTTATCTTATTTCAATTGAATTCGGTTTTTATTCTTTTGAAGAATGAACGATTTTGAACGAGAATGCAGCAAACTTTCTTTTTATTTTTTAAAAGTTTAGATCTTGTCTCATTCCGAACTTACAAATTTCTATTGTTACTCTATTTGTTTCAGTTGAACAAGTCAAATTGAATTAAAATTCATTTTGGTTCATACGAAATTTTTGTAGAATGAATTCTTTAAAATATATCAAATAATTTTGTTCTTGTAACTTTTTATTACATCTATGTTTTATATTTATTTTTTGTTTTATTTTAGATATAACAAGGTTTTTATTATTAAGTTAAGAACACTTTTTGAATTGTTGTTGTAGAAATATTTTCAATAAGTAGGTAAATATTTTCTTAAATAAAGGTGCATCATAATTCGTTAAGTTATGGTCATAATTTTTTTAACGATTCTTAATGTTTTCTTAGATAATAAATAAGCTTAATCAAAATTATTACTGTTTTATAATGGGAAGTAACAAAAATGAGAACATTTTAATGGCACAAATTCTATTAAATAAATTTTATTTTATTTATTTGGTTTTCGTTCTTTCGAAGAATAGAACGATGACGCAACAAATATTCTTTTTCCATTTAAAGCTTTCGATTTTCTCTTTCATACGTATAAACTTCTATTATTTTTGCTGTTCCGTATGTTTTAAAAAAACAGATTTAATTGAATTAAAGTATGGATTTTTCTCTATATTCATGTTATAATTTTAATCTTTACTTTTTTTATTTTATTTTCCACTTTTTTTCCGACAAATTATTAAATACTTTTTTAATTGTGATCGATAATTGTCAATTTTAACGACCTAATTATATCTGCGTATTCTGAAAAAAAAACTTTTTATATTGTCATCAAAGAAATATTTTTAGTAAAAAATATAGTTATGCTAACCTAACCTAACCAAAATTAAACTTTTACTGATTTTTGAAGTGAAACTTATTAACGCGCGTTGGGAGTAAAAATACAAGGCCGTGATACATGAGTTTGCTGGTTGCCTAACGATTAACATTAATTTAAAAATAAATATTCAACATGAATAATGAACAAAACATTTAAACAAAAACAGACCACACAAAACAAATTGTTGGTTAGTAGCAGTTAGTAGTAGTCTATGGAGTGTAGAGGTAAGGAGAAATAACTCCGTGCATTAAAAAATGGTAAAAAAAGGGAAGAATTAGGATGGCGCTGCTGTAGCAAGATTCTAAAATTTAAGACATGCGCCCAACATTTTAGAACAGATGATTCAAGACATAAATATTTGACGTGAAGCAAACGCGAAGCCGCGGGTGTAAAAAAAAATACAATTTTATTTTCATGTTGCATGAAATAAATTACAGATTTTTATTCAGCAGCAATAGACTAGGCCCTTTTTTTTATTGTTTCTCATAAGTTATTATGCAAATGTCATTCAAGACGACGAAAAAATATTCTTATCGTTTTAGCTTAAAATTAATGGTACTTATAATTAAGACAAATTTTATTTTAAGTAATAATTGGTGATAGGTTTAAAATAAATATAATGCAGCTTTAAAATAACTTCATACCTCCATTTATTTAGTATAAAAGTAAGTCAATATGTGTTTTTATTATCGATTATTCAGATATCAGAGCCTCTTTTTATTGTTTCTCATAAGTTATTTCGTAAATCTCATTCAAGATGAAAAAGCTTTAGTTCAAAATTAATGTTTAATTAATAAATTATAATTAGGAAAACTTTATTAAAAGTTTAATTGATGATATGGGATTTAAATAAATATAATGCAGGTCAAAAATAACGTAACACATTTTATTTAGTATAAAAATTAAGCCAATATAATATAATTTTATACTGTACAAGTATTTATTTACGTTTTGCCATCGTAGTTGCCATTCATTCAGAATAATGGATTTTAAATGTTCGATAGTCGGATGGCTTAACTACCTTAATATCAACTACTTCTAGACAGGAATCGTGTGCAGTATTATCTTCTTTTTCACTCCCAGCTATTCCAACATGGCAACATGGCTTGGGACGTGAAATAATAATATAATTTTATAGCCCTTCCAGATGCTCATGTCTTCCTTGTAGTTCACCCAATAGAATCGTTCTTGCAGCTTCCTCCTAAGTTGGTAGTTGCTATTCATTCAGAATAGTATATTTTAAATATATCTGGTAGTCGGATGGTTTAACTATCGTAACTATAACTACTTTTAATAATTCTTTTTCTCAATTCTTTGCACTATAATTTGCATCCCACGTATTGTAATATTTTCCTTTGAATTTCGTTTCCTATTGTCCCATGGCTTGAGACATAATGTTATAGCCCTTCCAGATCCTCATGTATATGTCCCTTTTTCTTGTAGTCCACCCAATAGAACCTTTCTCTTAGCTTCCTCTCAAGTTGGTTCATTAAGAATAGTGGATTTTAAATATGTTTTGTATTCGGATGGTTTAACTACTGTAACATCATAAATAAATTGTATACCAACACATAATGGCCAAACTTCAACAGACTTTAATATTCATAAGCCTCATCAGAAGAAAATATTTTTTGATCCAAAGTTTCTTTTTCATTATTAGAATAAATTACCTGCAATTTGTTAATTCATTACAACATTGAATAAAAGATGCAAAGTGTTTATACATACTATAATAGATAAATCTTCATTTTAAATTATGTGATAGATCTGCTTGCTTGTAGGATCTAGACTCATAAACTCAATAATTTCTTTTATTGATATAACCAATAAAGTGGTAATGATGAAATTTTGTTTTTGATTTGAGCAGTAGGGTCCATTATTTCCATTATTTGATGCTGTTATTGCTCTACAAAATGTTGATCTTTATCAAGGGATGTTTATGTGTATAATATTATTATTTATGTGTATAATAATACTGTATGATCGAAAAAACACGGCGTCCAGTGGGCTTGGAAATGAACATCTCGATGACATTCTCCATATCATTTTACATATAAAATGACAGCAATCTTCATTTCATAGGCATCGCTGACGCCGTTTTTTATTCGATAAAATTGTACTTACGTGTATAATATTCATTTAATGGTTCCTGTTTTAGTTGCTGGTGTTCATATTTTGGTTTTTTATTGTGTTGTTGCTCTACAAAATGTTAATATTTATGTGTATAATAATACTTATGTGTATAAAAATCATTTAATGGTGCCCTTCTTGCTTGTTGCTGTTGTTGCAATTCAGAATTTAAATTAACCTGAGGCAGTAGGTAAAGCTTCATCCTCCAATATTTTCCTATGTAAATACTGAAGTGGACAGTATTTCTGATGACAATTTTATCACAAACTTTAACATATTGTTCTTTAAAATGAAACTGCCATACCTTATCTGTAGATTTCAAAGCAATATCTAAATGCTTTTGACCATCACTGTAATCTAATTCTTGTCCGAAAATCAATACCTAATATTATCCTGATGATTTTGATTTTTGATAGATTATTAAAATACAGCACTTACAGTTAACTATATTTCTTGAAAGTACCTACAATTTTATGTATTTCCTACTTTTACTTGTTTAAAAAAATGCCAACAATTTGTGCATGTCTGTCAAACTTTAAAATCATTAAAAAGGTAAGTAGTAGGCTTTGCCTTTGCTCTTTATTTTTCCATCAGCTATTCAATCAACTTCGCACCACACACACTTTAACCATTGTTAAATAATAAATAAAGCACAAAATATTGATAAACAATAATTATTTTATATTCAAAAACTCTTGTCTGAAAAATAAAAACAAAATTTTTTTGGGTAATGTTTGGTTATGTTTATTTTTATTCTCTTATCTATGGTTATTTTTCATTTTTTAGATTCATGCGTTTTTAGCGCCACTGTGGTTATTTGGCGAACCCTTATTCTTCCCATTTTGTGACCACTTTTTCAATAAAAGTCCCGTAAGAGTTATTTCTCCTTACCTCTACACTCCATATAGTAGTCAGAGAAAAAAATGTAGTATTTTGGTTTTATGGCCACAGCTGCCAGAGCTATCCGGCCGGGTGATGTAGAATGTAGAATGAGTAAGAGGGGGGGTTAATCACTGCGACCTTAAAGATCTATTGTGCCCCCCTTTCTTAAGTCATCACACAATCTATAACCCATCATACCCCTGTTGTAGACGGGACAGGTTATTTCCCATCCTCCTCTGACAACAGTTCTTCATCCGAGGGTACACCAAACCAAACCAAACCTTTCCACGATTGGAGTTTGGCCCTCCGTGCCGCTCTTCACTGTCGAGGAGCTTGCCTCCGGCTGAGGAACCCGTGAGGTGGAGGCTGGAGGATCTGTCTCGATTTTCTCTACCTCTTTAACTTGATCTCTCCTTAGACCGGATACGGCCGGGTAATAGAATTATTTTAGGTTTTTTAATAAAAAATTAAAAAAACATTATAAAATTATAAAGCTAGAATAGTATACGGTTTATATTAACTCTACTTTTTTTGAAGTTTATAAAAAGCATTCATAAAAAGATCTTCCAAATTCTTCAATCCTTTTTTTTTAATAAGAGATCAGTTAAAAATATTGTTTGCTGTAATTGTTCAAATAAATACAATTTTGAACGACACTTTTTGTGTAGGTAAGCGTATTTATGTGACATTTTCTAAATTATATTTTTTTCTCGTGTGATAATCCGTCATTTAGCGCTTACTGTAATGGGGCGTGCACGTCTGTCGGGATTTTCTTTATTGAAAAAGTAAATAAAAGGCTGTACAAACACGAGAGGGAAGTGGAATCAAACAGAGACAGATAATGACATTTCTGTTTTCCACGTCGCGAGACGTTATTGGAATTACAAGGGAAAGAAAATAAAGAAAAGTAAATTACTACTAAATAAACAACCACTAATTTATATAATAATTATTTTTCTCACGCTACTGGGGATCTAACTTTTGTGGGAGCAAAATATTCTTTGGTTTAAATCTGTTGGATAGGATGTGCGGAATAGATTTGTGCTTTATTTATGAAACGTATTATAAGTTTTAATGAATTTTTCGAGAGAGCGCTGGGTATCAATATTTTTTTCAATATAATGTAAATAATAAGTAATATTTATATTCAGGGTGGCCCAGGTTTCCGAAATAGTTCTATACTAGGTTTTTGGTTTGTGATTTTTTTTTGTCAGAATATGGGGGCAGTGGTATCACAGATTTTAGAAATATTTTTGTAAACATACAACATATTTTCAAAGTACTGCATAATAGTGTATTCATCAAAATTCAGCCTATCAACATTTGTAACCTTGTTTGTTATATGCAAGGTGAGTCAAAACTAAATGTTGTATTTTTCTCTATTATTTTAAATGTGGATTATTTAACCTGTATTTTGTATCATAATCGAACAAAGTTTTATTTAGTCGCTTTGTTTTATTAACCACTTCCTCTTTGTAAAATCTATATTTAATGAGAAAATTGTGTTTTTATTAAATATAAGACAATATTTCGCATTCTCTCTTTCAATAGAAGGCGTTTATCATTATAAGCGTCTGTACTCTACAGTTTTCTGTCACATAATAAAATTAGCTTCATCGGAAAATTTTAGTTAAATGCACCAATTTTCATGAACTGTATTAAGCATATGCATTGCGAAATTCATTGATATAAATATTGATAAAAGGTATTGAAATAATTTTGTGAGTATATTGAGATATTTTCCTTTGAAATAATGTCAATATACCGGGTGCGTCTCAAAAGTGACTTACCCTATAACTTTTTTATTTTTTCAGATAAAAAAACGATATTTGGTATGTTAGTATATGACATCAATTAGGATTGAATAGCGTATTCAATTATTTTTGGTCACTTCCAGTTTCACCGGAAATGACTACAACTTTTGATTTTTAAATAGCACCCTCGGAATTTTCTTACTTTATTCGATAGAAAATGACACTCTGAATTGCATGACAATATAATGTCACTAAATATCATATGTCAGCTTTTGATCTATTTGCTCAGAAACAAATTGTATTTTAAATTTCAATCGTTCTGTTGAGGCCGTGGCTGTGCTAGAAACACTAATATGTCATGACTGTATGATATGTCATTCTATTCAGAGTGCCATTTTCTATCGAATAAAGTAAATAAATACCGAGGATGTCATTTAAAAAAGGAAGTGATCGAAAACAATTGAATATGTCATTCAATTCTAATTTGTCATATACTGATGTTAAATCCCGTTGTTTTACCTGAAATAATAAAAAAGTTATAGAGCTGAGCCACTTTTGAGACGCACCCGGTATTGAGTCATAAAAATAAAGTACAAATATCATAAGTTAATAAAAATCAGTAGCTAAAGATATTATTGTCAAAAATGATTTCTATTATTAACAGTAGCAGATTATAATATGCACTTTATGATATAGAATTTGACAATAAAATAACTAGTTAAAAAGTCGTTTAATTTTGGAAACCATATTTTATGGACATAAAAAGAACTTTATACGATTTAGCATTATTATACGCCACTTTGAAAATATACCCTGGAAAAAGTATAAAATCGTATAATTTTACCAGCCGATATTGTCGATTTTGATATTATAAAACTTTTGATTTTTTAAAGCAATTCTTTTTACATTTTTCTTGACCGCTTTTAAGTTTGCCGGATATTAAACAGAATTTTTTTTAAATAACAAAAATGTTATCTTCTAATTAAAAATTGTTTTTTAATTTTTTCATTACACAGGTAAATATGTGGTTTGTTTTTTCACTGATCTGTTATTTTAATATTTGTTAGAGGGAGTATAGCATAGGAGAGCTATACAGAGTGTCGTAAAATATACATACATATATATGTTAAAACTGAGTTATATTAACCCCAAAATGAAACAATAAACCACCCTAGTTAACAACCTCCTGATCCACGCATACGCGGAGCAGTTACTTTGGCTCTGGATCGCTTCGGTCTTCCTGATATCGACTGATATCTAACATATATTTTATTACCGAAGTTAATCATCGCACCTTATCACGGCGCGGCGGCTTCTTCAAATAATTGCGAATTATAATTTATATAGTTATGATAGTGTTTTGTTTTTCTATTACCTGGTCTACTAAAGAACTACTGACTAGTGTGTTATACCCTGCTGGTTACTTTATCCGCATGGTCTGTATTTTAATGCATACGACCGGTTGACAGACAGAGAGACAAAATAAAAAGCGGCCTACAGTGTTGCCGGTTTTTACGTTTGTAGGAAAATGTGTGTATGAAAAAATAAACTATTTTAAACATTTTATGTATACTACTGAAATGAAGATAATATACATATCTAAGCCAAATATTTATTTATAACAGCTGTAGTGTAACCAAGTAAGTAGTGTAACCAATAAGTAAAATCGGTAACTAATTGTGAAAAATAAAGTTCTAGCCCTAAATTCAACATTTTTATAAACGCCTATTTGTGCGGTTTGAAATTTTGATGCAAAATCCGGCAATACCGCATAGAATAAATATATCTACCCCTTTCAACTTTTATCTCCTTTTAATACATTTGATTTTCCATTAAGCTGTCTATATATAAGCTAATAATAAGTCTATATAATAAGCTGAAATATATCGATATTTATTGGAAATATATCGATATTTATACATTTATCGAAACACGAAAGACTCGAAAAACAGTGCTCCGTATAGATAACCATATTTCAGTGTTACGGGTAAAGAGAAAATATTCATAATTATGCATTCTACAGAACAAGTGATAGTAAATGTGTAGTGTGAAATTCAGAAACTTGTGTGGAAAATGAAGGTAAATAATTGAAGAAAACTTAAAATACAAGGTCAAGTTTAATATCAACATCATATCAACATTGAGGGCTACAAAGTCGTGGAAGGTCTGCACCAATATCAAAACCTGTTCTTAAAATGGTTGACTTATCAAACGAACATCTTACCACAATATTAGAAACAATAAAAAAATCTTCCGAAGAAACATCTGCGGCAGTAACCAGCAATTAAAAGAATATTTCAAGGAAGAAACTGAAAAACTCCTGAATAAAATTAATGAACAAGCTCACAAAATCGAGATTTTAGAAGAACGCTGCACGAAGATTGAGGAAAATCAAATTAAGTTTGAGAGATTCATAAAAAGAAAAAATTTAATTATATTTGGAGCCAGATATAACAAGGATAATAATAATATATTACAGTTCACGCTCGATCTACTTCAAAAGTATTTAAATGTCCAAATAACTGAAAACGATATAGACAATATTTATACTCTGAATAACGTATCATCAAAAAACGGGCCACCAATCAAAGTAGAATTTGTGACAAATCTAAAGAAGAATTTGATAATTGGGAATTGCTACAAATTAAAAAATACCGAAATATCAATTGCACAAGATCTTTCGTATGAAGACAGGCAGGAAAGAAAAATTTTACAAGAACACTTAAGGCAGGCAAGAGCAAAGAATTACTCAGCAAAAATATTGTCAAACAATAGACTTCAAATAAATGGCGATATCTACACTACAAATCAACTGAAAGCAACAAGTAACGAAGT